TAGTTTGAAAGAATCAAATTAAATAAGCCTAAGACAAGTATCCAGAGTAGTGATATCTTGTTTCTAGTTCCACACAAAATATGGCTGTTTCAAACTTGGTATGTTGTATATGATTTTTTCCTAAATACCTAAATTTCTTTCTTTAGTTCTTTTTAGGGTCTGGATAGCCATTATATATGTATATTTTTGGGATAGCCATTATATATGTATATGCACATTTTTTTTGTATTGCCAATTTAACAAATATAACTTTTTAAAAGAAATGTTGATGTTCTTGAACATGTATTTAATTTTGCAGACTGTACATGATGGAAGACAGTTTATGAAATTTATTGATCCTAATTTAGGAGTCCCTTTGCCTGAAAGAGACTATGGTGGAAATTGCCTTATATATGACCCAAATAATATAACAGATGCCTTTCACAACATTTGGGTAAGATGCTAAAATAGAGAGATTGTATTCATTTAATAATATTTCATGTCTTAGGATTTTGTAGTTCTTTGATTACCATGGATGTCTGATAATTGTTGCCTAATCCAATATCAGTTATTTCATAACTAAGAGTCTGTCTTCAGTGATTCCATCGATGAGGTCCAATGCATCTTTCTGAGAATTTCAGTCTTCATTTCTTTAAAAGCAAATTTTAACTTGGAGGACAGACTGCAGGTAGACCTTGTTTAGTGACTGCAGTTGGTTCAACAACCTGGTCATTAAGTGAAGTGATTGCTATGGTAAGTGAGCACCTCTCTGAGAGAGAGATGCTGTGAAGATCACTGATTGTTGCTGTCTCATTTACATAAAGTTATCTCACATAATGGCCTGTGCTTGATTTATCCCCCCCTTTTTTTTTGCCCTCCTGCAGGGTGGAGAGATTGCTTAAATAAGGTATTTCTTCCTGAGCTGCTTCTCAGTGTAGGATTTCCTTAAAAAGTGTTAACTACAAGTTAACAAGGTCACTGTGACCTTTATTAGTTGAGTAAAAGTCTCCAGGCCTCATAGCTGCTGCATGAAACTGACCAGAGCTTAATCAGTTTCACATTAAAGGCTTTTTTTATCATAAATTCTCAGAGTGGAAAGCATTCATTACCATTGTATTTGTGAATGGTTGCTATTCAAAGTGGTTGTTAAATTTTACTTGTAGTAAAATTTTGAAACCTACCGTATGTCATTTCCTACGCATGGGAGCTAAGATATTGCTGCCTTGCATATGGCTTTGTTTTTTGTTGTTGTTTTTGTTCTTTTTTCATAACTAACTAAATGCAGAACAAAAATAAAAATGTTATCCAAAGTTATTAATTTATGTATAAATATTGTTACATTGAATGTGGATTTTTGTAATGCAAAATGTATGCATGTTTCTGTAACCATCTACTAATCTGTGTAGTAACTTAATCATGCTCTCCATTCCTCCATAATTGTATATTAAGAGTTGACTTAAATTATTTAATTATTCCCACACTTTTAAGATAAATTAAAGGAAATCTATATCTGTTATCTGCAGTTGTTAAAATCCATCTTTCTAGACTGCAGTGTGTTGGCTGTTGAGTCTATAAAAATGTGAATTATATAATATTTTAGTAAAGCTTTTCCTTTTTATGAAATAAAAAGCTGGTCCAAAACATTGATGCCTCAGATCTAAAGAACAGATTGGGACTCATACTGTATTTCTAGACTTGTGGCTCAAAGGTACAAAAGTTGAAAGTTAAGATAATCATGTTTGTTTGAGGTTTTGCTGGGTTGAGATATACATAACAGCAGAATTTAACATCTCAGGAACATTATATGGTCAGATATTGTATTATCTAAGATAAGAACCCATTTTTCATCTTCCAGATGAAAATTGAAAAAAGAACAGTAATCTTTTTGTTATCTGGTTGATAGAAAAATTTATACTATACATTACATGTGAGATGTAAAATTTATTTTTTTAATCATTTAACAAATATTTTTAAAACATTGAAGATGTTTCATGTTGCATATAGAAATATATGCTTCAGTAGTCATTGTCATCATTTATATTGATTTATTTTATTACATAGAAAGTAACTCTAATCTGTATAATCTACTTGAATTACAGGATAAACTAGATGGATTTGTTCCTGCTCATTTCCTTGGTTGGTACTTAAAGGTGAGAATTGGCCCTTTCTTTGCTTAATTACTTCCTATAGTTCTGAACTCTAATTGGTTGGCAGTACTTCAAGTGCTGCTTATTCTTTATGATTATCACTGGTCATCAAAATTCTTTTTAAAATAAGTTTCTGACAGTAAACCTCTGTTTTACTGTTGAATAGCTTCAAATCTTAATCAGTTAAGGTATTAAGCTATTTTTAGCTATGTTAAGATTAAACTAATGGACAAATAAATGCATCACTATTTCCCTCTTAATATACAAAGTATATTATATTGAACAGAGAAATGAAGCAGTCCTGCTTTGTAATTATTGCTAAGAAGTTGTAGATTGTGTGTTCATATCTTTTGTCTTGATAATTACTCAAATTTATTTTAGTCTTAGAACTTCTACTCATTATTAACTATAACTTTGTAATGCATCTATGAAGGCTACTCTAGTTGCTTTTGCTGACAGAAAAACCAGTTCAGGTATACAGGTAGTCCTCGACTTACTACCATTCATTTAGTGACTCTTTGAAATTACAGTGGCACTGAAAAAGTGACTTATGACTGGTTTTCACACTTGCCACCGTTGCAGCATCCTTGTGGTCACATGATCAGAATTTGTGTCGGTTCCACGATCTTGGGGTCATATGATCACCATTTGTGACCTTTGCAGCCAGCTTCCCACAAGCAAAGTTAATAGGAGAAGCCAACTCTGCTTAATGACCAAATGATCCACTTAGCCACTGCCATGATTCACTTAACAACTATGGCAATAACGGTTGTAAAATGGGCCAAAACTCACTTAACGACTATCTTGCTTAGCAACAGAAATTTTGGGCTCCATTGTGCTCATAATTCGAGGACTACCTGTATGTATAGTTCAATTGAGTAATTTTAAGTTCCTACTTGAAAGTAAACTCAATATTTTGTGCTACAGATGTTTTTGAGAACCTTTGTTCTCATCTTCAAAGGACTACTGGAACCTGGTGTTCTATCTACAACATATTATAAACAAAGCTGGAAAAAAATAATTTGGTTCACATTTTAACACCAGGTTTCTTAATTTATACTTCTTCACTTAATACATGAATCAGAATACTATTATCCTTTGCCATCAGAACCATGCATATAAAAATGCAAAGAATTGGGGAAAGTAGCATTTGAAAAACACTGGCAAGGAAATTGCTTAATAAGTTTATTAAATGATATGTTGTATTGCACATGAGAATGAATATTGATTTTTATTTTAAATATCTGTAGTAATCAGTACTCAGTCATTCATTGCAGGGTGCAAATATGGCTGACTGCCTTCGCAGCGTTTATTCTTTATATACAGGTATTCCAACTGGCATAAAGTAAGATGATATCAGCATAGTAACAGCATTTCTATTGGTGAAACCCCTTGCCAATCCTTAAGAATATACTAGCTACGAGGCCCCAGACAGGGAGCAGTTTTCTACCACATCCTGTTGATGTGAACCAGGTGATATCATGTACCAGCCTGGGGTAGTTTCCCACATTGCCATGGTGATGTGAATGGATGAGATCATGTAGAGAAGAGGCACGGAGGCGTTGGAAGGGCAGTTTGCTGCTCACGACCTCTACCTGGCCCCTATCTCTACAAATATCATAAATTAGTTCAGATATATAATGCTTGAAAACAATTTACTACTCCTATTCACAAGTTAAATGTCAGTGAGACTTTTTTTCTTAATTTTTTCTTCAATATTGGGTAATGCAAATTTGGACTAATCTGCAGAATAACTTTCTTCTTTCATAATTTGCTTAGACGCTAATGATTCGGGATTGGTGGATGTGCATGATTATCAGTGTAACGTTTGAGTTTCTGGAGTACAGTCTAGAACATCAGCTTCCAAATTTCAGTGAATGCTGGTGGGATCATGTAAGTATTAATTACTCTCTTTAATTGTTTGGCATATAGTGATGCAAATTCATTTTTCAAAAAGTCATTTCATAGGGTTCAGTTACCAATTAAATATGAATAACTTTGGCAAGAGTAATTTGTTACAGACTCTTCTTTCTAGGGATCATCTAGCATTGAACTCTGATATCCTCGGATTCATGAAAATGATCTGCAATTTCTTTTATTTCTAATTTTATGTAAGATACACATGAACCTGAGAGCCAGTTTGGGTAGTCCCCAACTTATGATCATAATTGGAACCAGAATTTCAGTCACACTTCTGTCATCACGTGACCAGACCCAATTTGACAACTATTACTTTTTTTTTTGGGTGGTGGTGATTAAGTTAGTCAGCATGCTTGTTAAGAAAATTATCTGGTATTAAATAAATAATGCAATTGTTAAGTGAATCCAGCTTCCCCCATTAATTTTGCTTGTTGGAAACCAGCTGGGAAGGTTGCAAATCGCAACAACATAACCACAGAGGTGATGCAATGGTCGTAACTTCAAGGACCAGTCATAAGCTACCTTTTTTCAGCACTGTCGTAACTTCAAACTATCATTAAACAAATGTTCATAAGTCAAGGACTACTGTAGTAGTTAAGGCATCTGTGAGTTGTAATCTCACTTTAGACACAAAACCAGCTGGAGATCTTGCGCTAGTCATTATTCGTATGTTAATATAACAATAATAATGAAATTTATAAATAAAAGTTTAATTTTTGTTAAATGATGCATTCTGAACTGAACAAAAAAATCAGCAAGGAAAGAATCAAATATGAAGTGAAATGGGCAAGTCTAGGAGAGAACAGATTATTATTATTATTATTATATTATTATTATTATTATTATAATTTAATTTATATACCGCCCTTCTCCCGCAGGACTCAGGGCGGTGCACAGCGTATTAAAAACAGTACAAATACAAAACATAAAAATACAAACCCCTGTAAAACCAGATTAAAAAACCGAATATTAGAAGCTGTGTTTCTATTTAAAATTATTTTTAAAATCACCCTAAATAAAATCC